AAACTTAGTCTAAGCATCTAAGCTTCAAACGTCTCTGATCATTCTTGAAACAATCTTTAATGCAGCAAAGACCTAAATCCCTGCATTGTGGAAGAATCCATAACCCCCCACAAAGACACATTGGCTAGCTCGCATTAACGAGATTCAAGAAATGGAGAGTATGACCATGTTGCTCAAGGAACAGGGGGATAGATATTGGAAAACCTGGACCCCATATTTCTTCTACAAAGATCAAACCATGCTGGCTTCCCAGTTGTGTGTTGCCCATTAGGGTGAAGCAACTCTTCACATTCTCCGGTACTCCGGGGGATCACCTGGGTGAGTGCCCGGGAGGTTGGGCGGAGGGGTCGGTTTCTCCCTTTCCTCTGTATCCCTTCCCCTTTACACACACACACACCTTTCCTTTTTTTCTCTCTCTTCTCTCTTTCATCTCTCTTCTTTCTTTTTTCACTTTCCGTTAGTCTTCTAGGGTTTTTATTACCGCTATTGGTAAAAGGACAAAATGTAAAGAAGAAATGGTGTTTCTTGGGGATGTGGATGCAGTGGTTCATCTCTGCCTGCTCTAGATGTTGTCTATATCAATGATTTTCTTCACGGAATCTGTACAGTCTTTGTGTGTTGGGGATGGGCTGTGCTATACCACATTCTATCTTGATGTTTTATTGTTTTTTCTGTATGATCTGTAATGTAATTTCTTCGAAATAAAGAATATATAAAAAAAAAGTCTCTGGTCATGACAGGGTCAATATAATTTAACCCCAATTACCTTCCTTATTTGCTCTGATAAATCTATAATTTAAAGCATTTTGCTAAATCTGTTTGATAAGTGCAAAAATTACCAGTTGATCCTCTGCCAGTAAGCTAGTGTTGACCTGTAGCCTTTGCATGCTGCAGTGTGCAGTATTATCAGTCCTGACCGGTTTATCTCTGAAACACAGAACACCTCCTACATGTATGTTATGGGGATGAGGAGCTTGGAAGGTGTTTTGTAGTCCTAACACATTTCCTGCCCTGGGGTGACAAAGCTGCTTCTCTACAGATAATGCAATGAGTGAGTGCTGTCACCCTAGAACAGAAAGAATGTTACTAGTAGGATCTCCAGGTAAACATATGGGGGAAACAAGCTAGAAAAAGGAAAATGAATGCCTGATCAGCTGCAATATATTACTTTTATTATTGATCCTAATTTTTTTTCTGGGTTTGAATGTGCTTTGAAGAGAACCTGTGCTTTTATTTAACCACTTGCCTACCAGGCACTTATACCCCCTTCCCACCCAGGCCAATTATCAGCTTTCAGCGCTGTCGCACTTTGAGTGACAATTGCGTGGTCATGCAACACTGAACCCATATGAAATTTTTAGAATTGTTTGCACACAAATAGAGCTTTCTTTTGGTGGTATGTACGCTGCTGGGTGTTTTATTTTTTGAGCTATAAACAAAAAAAGAGCAAACATTTTGAAAAAAAAATATATTTTTTCTTTGTTTCTGTTATAAAGTTTTGTAAACAGGTAATTTTTCTTCTTCACTGATGTGCGTTGATGAGGCTGCACTGATAGGCAGCACTGACGGGCACTGATAGGCAGCACTGACGGGCACTGATAGGCAGCACTGATGAGGTGGCACTGATAAGCAGCACTGATAAGCTGGCACTGATATGCAACAATGATGGGCACTGATAGGCGGCACTGATGGGCACTGATAGGCAGCACTGACAGGTGGAACTGATGAGCAGGCACTGATAGGCGGCACTGACTGATGGCACTGACTGGCGGCACTGCTGGGGACTGACTGGCGACACTGTTGGGCACTGATGGGTGGCACTTCTGGGCAGCACTGATGGGAGGCACTGATGGGTGTCACTGATGGGTACTGATGGGTGGCACTGCTGGGCACAGGTGGGTGGCACTGCTGGGCACAGGTGGGTGGCACTGCTGGGCACTTGTGGGCGGCACTGTTGGGCATAGATGGGCGGCACTGGTGGGTGGCACTGCTGGGCACTGATCATTAGTGCTCTGATGATCAGTGCTGATCCCTCCTCTAACAATTGCTGGTTATTGTCAGTACTTTTCTCATGCTGTGATAGCATGAAGAAAGTGCAGCCGATAACCGGCAACTAAAATCAGAGAGTGCAGTGCGCATAAGATAATGATCATGTAAATATTTTCAAATCCAATAAAGTGCGTTTTAAATTGATAAATCTTTATGCGTAAATCCACAGTGAAAATAAGTTGTAAAATGCAAACATATGATTTCAATACGTGCTCTGAAATAAATACATAAATAAATAAATAGATAGATTAAAAGTCCATGTGATAGTGAAAATTCTAATGTCCATTAATTGGTGATACTACGTGAAGATCTGTGTTCAAGTGATCACAAATATATTCCATGTGCCAATTATATATTCAGTGAAGTGCCAGGGATATAGTAAAAATGCGCACTCACCAGATGGCATTTTAATTAAGCATTTGTGTAAATTATGTGATCAGCCAGAGGTCCCCTTTAAGGTGGAATGGATATGTAGCCTGGAAATGAGGAGTTGTTGGTGGAAGTGGCAGCAGAGGAGATGATAACTTTCAGAGCACAGTGTGAAGGACGGCTGCAGAGCAGCTCAGGATCCAGAGGAGGGAGATTCCTTTCCTGGCTATTTCAGAGCACATATTAAAATCATATGTTTGCATTTTACAACTTAATTTTACTGTGGATTTACGCACAAAGATTTATCAATTTAAAATGCACTTTATTGGATTTGAAAATATTTATATGATCATTATCTTATGAGCACTGCACTCTCTGATTTTACATGCTATTGAAGGTTTTTTGGTTGCCTTTTTAGTGCATTAGCGGCTGGTTTTAAGCACTCGCTGATTTCTTTTATTTTATGATAACCGGCAACTGCATTTACCGGCGATCTGCTGTGTCATTGGACAAAGGCTGATCACTTAATTGGCCTTTTACCACATCATCTGTAGGACTGACTGGCCGCAGTGAAACCATCATTCAACTATCTGCGGTCGGCAAGTGGTTAAAAAAATTAAAGTAATACTGCAGAGACAGACCCCACACCACACCTGCTATTATCTTTGTTACCCACAAAAGCTGCTTCTGTGTCCCCCTCTGATTTGGTGTCACCTTGTTACTGGGGCCTGATGGCTGCTGGCTTCTTGGCTAAACCCTGTTTGGTGGAACTGTTTCACCATTAAGTTAGGAAAAGTCAGGGTCTAGTAACAAAATTAAATTATATTAACCCCTTAGTGACTAAGGGTAAAACAAATGTTAATGCCTGATCCCAATTTTGCTACCTTGACGTGTTAATGAAATCATACATACCATCATAACTACTTTGTGCATGTAGGTTGATTATATCTTGTTTTTTTCAGGATACATTTGGCTTTCTTTTGGTGGTAAATGGTAACTGATAACTCCTTATATTTTTTTTTAGTATCAAAAGAAAAATAGTAAAAAAAAATCCTTTTTTTTAAATTCAGCTGTATATTTTTTGCTACTACCATAACCTACCAACAAAGCAACTCAAAATAAATTCTCCTGCTCCTGCTCAAATGACATATGTGTATGTTATTTGCTGTTTGTACCCATAGTAAGGCCCAGAAATAATAGTGCACATTTTGCTTTTTTTTATCCTACCTAAGGCATACTGACACTGACCTACACTGCTCGTTTTAAAAATGCTCTTTTAAAAAAAAAAAAAAAAAAGATCCTTCCCAAAATTTACAGAGCTTGCAATTTTACCATGACCTTTGACCTCTGACCCTTACTTGACTCTAACACTAACGCTAGCACTTAGATCTAACCTTGTTCTAGATTTCTTTCTTCTTTTTTTCTTTTTTTACACACACCTTTGTTTATTTTCTCTCTGCAATGATACAATGTATCTCTCTCCCATTCAGAGAGGAAAAAAAAAACACAAGGGTGGGCTGCACAGTGACTGATCATTGTGGTAGCCAATCAAAGGCTATCACAGCGATCAAGTGACCCAGAAACTGATTGTTAGTATGGGACCCAGCAGTGCGAGTAACAGCCTGGTCTTTGTGCTGGGAGTGTGCTGTCTGGCACGCTCGCAGAATAAAGACAGATACTCAAAAAGCCCAGTTCTGTGAGGTTGCATATATGCGTCCGGACGTCGGGAAGGGGTTAAAAGACACTGAAGATACTTCTCAGACCAATTTAGAACTTCTTGCATTGAATGCTCTCATGTAGTATGTGTAGCGCTACCCCTGAAGGGGTCGCTTGATAATGTTCGTCCCCAGTGATTGCCCTGACATATTTCAATATACAATAATATTGCAAGAGACAATTCTTTAGAGATACCTCTCTACACTAAACGTATTCAAAATAGTAGGCCCCACAGGAATAATGGGTTTAGGGTATACAACTCTAGTTACCACATAAAAGCAGAACCCTGGTAAAATAGTAATTTAGCTAAGTTTAACAAGTTACACAATTATGAGTAGTAAGCTTCAACCATTTAATTACAAGACCAGCAGCAAGAGGTTGCAGAAAAGGCCTGTTGGCTTATCAGCTCCTTCTGGACCACTAGCGCCGCAATAGTGGATGCAGAGAATTATGTAAATGTATACACCACCGTGAATAGATATAGGTACCCCAATTTGAAAAAGCAATGGCCTTAAAAGAGAAGAGGTCCTTTTAACTAGAGAATGCAGCTAGAGTCCTGTGATGCTTAACCACTTGCCTACAGGCACTTTTACCGTCTTCCTGCCCAGGCCAATTTCCAGCTTTCAGTGCTGTCACACTTTGAATGACAATTGCACGGTCATGCAACACTGTACCGATATGACATTTTTATCATTTTTTGGTGACAGATAGAGCTTTATTTTGGTGGCATTTAATCACCTCTGGGTTTTTTATTTTTTCTTAAACAAACCAAAAACCACTGAAAATTTTGAAAAAAAAATGTTTTTACTTAGTTTTTGTTATAAAATTTTGGAAATAAGTGAATTTTCTCCTTCACTGATGTGCGCTAATGAGGCTGTAGTGATGGACACTGATATACAGGTGGCACTGATGGGCACTGATGAGGAGGCACTGGTAGGTGGCACTGATAGGCGGAACTGATAGGCAGCACTGACTGACAATGATAGGCAGCACTGACTGGCACTGTTAGCTGGCACTGACTGGCACTGTTAGACGGCACTGATAGGCAGCACTGACGGGCACTGATAGGCGGCACTGATGGCACTGATAGGCAGCACCGACGGGCACTGATAGGCGGCACTGATAGGGGAAACAGACTGGCACTGATAGGTGGCACTGATTGGCAGCACTGATAGGTGGCACTGACTGGCATTGGTGGGTGGCACTGAAAGGCAGTTCAGATGGGCACTTATATGTGGCATTGATTTGGCACTGAAATGTGGCACTGATGGGCACTGGCAGGTGGCATGGATGAGCACTGACAGCTGGCACTGATGGACACAGATAGGTGGCGCTGCTGGGGCTACACAGATCATCAGGGCACACTGATCATCAGTGCTCTGATGATCAGTGTACATGTCCCCTCCGAGGAATGCCAATTACCGGCTCTCCTCTCCTCTCGAGCTGTCAGTTGCCAAGATCACCTGGTCCTGAGGTGTGAAGGTGTCTGCATGCAGTGTCTCTAGAGTAATAACGGAAAGAGGTTGGGCTTACCAATCCTATGGGTAGCACTGCCTCCTAGGAGCAAGAGTTCTTACCCAGGCTCTTTGCTGTTTGCAGAGATGTGCAGAGTTACCGCCTGACAGCCTGTCAGTGTGGTGAGCCTAGATGTTTGTGTGAATGCCAGACAATGACAGTCCCAATGCAGAGAAGCTGATGCGATCTGCATCACCGCTGTGCTGAACTGATGTTCAGAGTCCCGCAGCAGTAGGCCAGCATTCTGTCTCTGACGGGGAACAGCAGTGCCCCTGTGTTCAGCTCTGAATCCCACACCAAGAGAGAGCCAGTCCCTTGCTGTAGAATATATCTGCTTTTCCTGGCATCCTTCTCATTTGCCAGCTATCTGGTAGCTGTAGCGGCGCTGTTCGTTCAAAATTTTTCAACCTGGCACCTTTGAGTTTTCAGTTAAATGATGTTGAATCAGAAGGGCCCAGGAGAGCTACCAAAGTAGTGAAGTTCTGTCAGTTCATCGGGAACCAGTCAAAAATTTCCATAATGTATGGCCAGCTTAAGATCTAGAACTATGAGTCTGTAGGCACAGGAGTGCCTAGTCATATTTACATGCAAGAAAGTGTAATGCTAATTTTCAGGAGGAAGTCCAGACAGAAGGAACATTTGTCAAGGTACTGCTTAAGCAAAAACACGTTTCTAATGTTTCCTATACCTTAGCAAATCTTCACTTTTTGGTTTCAAATGCACATTAAAGTGTTACTAAACCAACAACAGTAAAATCAGTCTGTAGATGCAGTAAAGCATGCTTGTTATACTCACTGTGGAAACAAAGAGGTTAATCCTCTGCATTGTGTAAAAAGACTGTTTGTTCCTGTCTTCTCTGCCCCTCCTTTTGTTCAAATGTCCATGTCTTATCTCCTGATAAGACAGGCTGAACCCGTAGCCATTCTGCACATGCTCAGTTTAGTGTGTATTGCTAGAGAGGTTTTTTTATTTTCTTGTAAGAGTGCATGTGATCAGCACAGGGCCAATCAGCACTGTCCAGACTGAGGTCAGGGGTTTTGCATCCTCCTAGAGCAGAAAGAAAACTCCTACAAGCTTTACCAGTGCTCTGCTGAACACTGATAGAAGTCACAAGACTGCTCTAACTGCTGATGAGAAAAGGTATGTAGCAGTTTATATTTACTAAAATAATTGCACTTCCATGTTCTGTGTACTGAGACCAGATATAGTGAATGCAGGGTCCTGCGTTTACATAACGCTTTAAAGTTCAAATTTAATTATACTGTAATTACCATATCAAAGGGAGCAGGGCTTTTGAAAGCTATGCAATGATTTTCAGTGGATCCTCTTATAATTTACTTTGGTAAATGTAATGCACTTTCACACAAGACCTAACAATTATATCAGTTTAAATCAAGTACATTTGTTTATCGAAAAGACTGATAACATTATTTGAACTTTTACACAAGTTGGTACATCTGACTAAAAAGGTAGCGTTTTATTTTTAAAGGGCCACCCGGGGGCGAACTGACAACTCATGGGGTCCCCGGGCAATAGGGGATCATGGGGCCCCTGTGTCCTTGCCCAAACTCAAAAAAGCCTATGCAAAAGGTACCAGGGGCATCTCATGGAGCCCCCTATTGACCCCGGGCCCTTGGGCAGTGCCTGAGTTTCCAAATGGTCAGTCCTCCCCTGGGGCCACCTAAGATATGTTTACTGTTCATCTAGCCCAATGGTTCTCAATGGGTCGCGACCCCTTTGGGGGTCGAATGGCCCTTTCACAGGGGTCGCCTTAGACCATCGGAAAACACATATTTCCGATGTGTAAAGATCAGCTACTGTGTTGAAAGCAGCTACTGTGTTGAAAGCAGCAGTATTGGAGGTAAAACGACACTTCATACATTATAATTACTGAGTAAATAATTTTATAGTTGGGGGTCACCACAACATGAGGAACTGTATTAAAGGGTCGCAGCATTAGGAAGGTTGAGAAAAACTGATCTAGCCATTAACTAAAAAAAAAAAAAAAAAATCATTTCATGCATGCACTGATAAAATACACTAGATGGCTCTAGTTCACTTTGCAATATCTTTTGTGCATTCCAGCACCTAATGTAGATACTGTATTACAAAGCTTTAAAAATAAAAAAATGTGCAGTACACTTTTGTATTTGCCGATTTTATGTTTAAATGTTTATAGGAACATAAACCTAGGAATGCTTGATTTAGTGTAGATTGCAAACATTAGGGAATTGTAAACTGCTGAAACCCAGATGAAGGCAAACGATAGGTTTTTGTTGGCAATCTCCCATTGCAGATTTGTATACTAAAGCAAGTTGTGCAACAGGAAATGTCAGAACTGTTGGGTACTGTTTCACATTAGGAACATATAGGGGTACAGAAATGCTGAATCTCCTACTGTTTACTCATGTTTATTATTTTTTTCTACTTACAACTGCAAGGGGTCTACAAACACCGGCCATCTTTTCTGACAAAGCATTGAGTTGTAGCCTAACCTGCTGTGTGATTTCTACTTTGGGAGGCTCTAAGCTGAATAGCAGCTTACAACATAGGGCTGGGAGTGAAAAAGGGGCACAGGAGGCTGGGAAGTTGACAGGAAACAGAAGGGAATTTATCAAAACTGGAGCAGTTGTGCATGGCATCCAATTAGCTTCTATATTTCATTTTCAAAACTTAATTGAAAAAGCTAAGGCTACAGACAGATTGGCTGCTATGCACAGCTGTCCAGATTCTTTCTGTTCCAATTTCAAAAAAAAAAAAAAGAAAAAAAAAAGTCCCATAGCAGTTTTTTTTTTATAACAGAAGTAAAACAATACATTTTTTTTTAAAGCTCAGCTCTTTGAAAAGTAAAAGTCCTCCTTAACTGCTCAATTATGTTCATCAGCGAACCAGTCAAAGCATTTTTGCTTAAAGCAGAGTTCCAGTCGCACTGTGAAAAAATAAAAGTCAGCAGCAACAAAAACTGTAAAAAACAGCCACTCACCTGTCCCATGATCCCGCGATACCACAATGTCCTCCCCGCAGCCCATTTCACCAGCCGTCTAGTGTTACAGGCGCTGGCATCTTCAATGTGTGCACCCGGCTGTGACAGCTTGCGGCTTCACAGCTGGGTGCCCACTGCTCATGCGCAAGGAGTGCTGCTCTTCCTGAATGGCCCCGTAGTCTTCTGGGACCTGTCATGTGTCCCAGAAGACTACGGGAGGGAGGGTAGGAGGACAACTTCTGCTTCTTTTTGACTAAGGCGATCGCAGCGGAAGTGGGAGCGGGTGCCTGTCAATTTCGGGTACCCGTTCCCACCCAAAGGTGCTAATCCTTAATGGGGAGCGGGGGACCAGTCTTTAAAGCAGAACTTCTCCTTTTGGGTGGAACTCCGTTTTAACTGATCTGCTGTCCAGAAAACGGTGCTCCCTTACACACCATCAGTAGGCTGTAGCTCAGAGTCCTCACAGCCAGTGTAGGGCTATGATCCCTACATCATTCATGGTGATATCAGAAGCATCCACCATAGAGAAGGGGAGAAGAGGCTGCAGAACTCAGTCTAGCAGTGCAAAAGGAGCCTGCGGGAGCGAAGGTTCAGATAAAGAAAAACTGCTTTTCCCACTCCTATCATAGACATAAACAAGCATTAAAAAGGAGGACTTCTATTTTTCTGGACTATAGATTTAAATTAAAGAATACAATTTTCATCTGACATAAAGGAAAAGAAAAAACAATTCAGATCCCCTCACATGTGTCACACTTGGAGCATTAGAATATAATGAGTTTTTATAATCATCCAGTATGGTCATTTGATGCTTATTACACAGCATAAAATAAAGCTAACATAGGAAAAATTTGCTTCAGGAGGTGGCGGGATCACCTACTGAATACCTGGAAGCCGCTGCTCAACCACATGAAAGGAGCCTTAGGGCAACATTAACTGAAATATGTTATTAATAGTAAAAAAAAAAAAGGTGCACAGGCAGAACAGCTTCTGATAGCCTCCAATGCTATGCAATCCACAGGAAAAGGCAGTCAGTCTAATATGTCAGCACAAATGGATACCCTTTATTGCAAAATGGTGGGGAACAGCTGATAAAATCAGCAACTCATTCTGGCCTTCAGGGCATGAATGTCACAGTCATTTAAATGACGAATAAACAATCACATGGTCTCAATAAAATCACATGGACACAAAGGGGGAGGGGCAACAAGGCATAAATTCAAAAAAATCATTTAAACTTTTAAAATATGTAAATTTAGTGCAGCAGACACAAAAAGCATATGTGTGTGAATGTAAATGTTATCTGCACTAGATATATACATATATAGAAAAAAATATTCTTATAAATACACAGGATGAGAATGATTAATAAGCACAAAACCCAGATGAGACATACTGGGACATAATGAATGAAAAAAGGAAAAAAGAGAGGGTTCAGAGCAAACAACAGGAAAATAAACAAAATCAAAATGGCAAAAACAGGGGAAGAGTGGAATTACCTTAGGTACAGTCATGGACAAAATATTAGCACCCCTGAATTTCTGTCAGATAATGCACCACTGCTCACAGAAAATTGTTGCAATCACAAATGTTTCTAGTGTTTATTTCTTTTGTTTGTATTGGTATGACATAAAAAAGTGGAGAAACAAAAAGCCAAATCTGACACATTCCATGTAAAACCCCAAAAATGGACTGGACAAATTATT